GCCTGGCTGACATCAGGGACTGGATGGCTTTAAACTTCTTAAGTTTCGATGAAAAGTAGTCTGAAGTCATGTTGTTCCCTCCCAATGACACGGTCACAAACCACTGCATTGACCTTTCAGCTCTAACCCTGTCAGAAAAGCAAAGAGTCACTAATCTGGGAGTGATAATGGACCCTTCCCTAAAACTCAACAATCATGTAAACATGATTGTTAAATCATGTTTTTTCCAACTGAGGCGGCTGTCTAAACTGAAGCCCATATAGTCCAAAAATAACCTGGAGACAGTAATACATGCATTCATTACATCTAGGCTTGATTACTGCAATTCACTCCTGTTTGGCATCAGTCAGACCTCCATTGCATGACTGCAACTGGTCCAGAATGCAGAAGCTTGATTTTTAACCAGTACAGGCAAAAGAGAGCACATTACACCAGTTTTGGCCTCACTGCACTGGTTACCGGATCACTTTCAAATCCAGTTCAAAATACTCATGTATGTCTACATATCACTGAACAGCTTTGCCCCTCCCCATCTCTGTCCCACCACGTTCCCTGAGGTTAGCAGACCAGTTGCTCCTCACAGTTCCAGGAACTCGTCTTAAGCGCAGAGGGGACAGGGCCTTCTCTGTAGCAGGACCAAGACTTTGGAACGAGTTACCTCTGCTGTTGAAAGAGGCCCCCTCCCTCTCGGTTTTTAAGTCCCGTTTAAAAACACACTACTATTTAGTAGCTTTCAACACCAGAGGATCTGTGTTTTGAACCTGTTTGCTACACACTGGTTAGTCGTCATATTTATTATCCGCATCGTTTTTATGTCTATATTCTGATTTACTTCATTTTGTATATTGCTTTGTGTGTTGTCTGTTGTTCTGTCTGTACAGCACTTTGGTTGGCCTTGTCGCTGTTTTAAGTGCTTTATAAATAAAGTGGTATGGTATGGTATACACAATGGCAGGTTGAGAATCACATGTAAAGATAGAAATACGGTAGTATCAAAAGAAAACTATTCAATTTTAACAATTCATTTTACAAAATGTGGTCAATTTGTCCTCTAGTAGTCTAAGCCTAAAGCAGCATAACAAGCCCACACTAACTATAGGATTTATCAAAAAGGAAAATCTTACGCCCAGTCTTAAAACTGGACAATGTGTCAGTCTTGCAGACAGAAACTGGAAGTTGGTTCCACAAGAGAGGAGCCTGATAAGTGAAAGATCTTCCTCCCATTCTGCTTTTAGAAACTCTAGGGACCACGAGTAAGCCTGCAGTCTGAGAGCAAAGTGCTCTGCTAGGAAAATATGGGACAATAAGAGCCGTTATATAAAATGGAGCTAGGTTGTTGAGGGCTTTGTAGGTTAGAATATTCTTTTGTTCTATTTTTTGTAGAATAAACAATTATTTTAGTAAATTATTTTTAATAGTTTGACTTTGTTTTCTTCATTATAAAAATCATCCTATTTTAAGAAGCCTTTTCTTTTAACATATTATAATTAGTTTTTTTTTTAAATGGTATTTTAAAAAAGCTTATTATATTATGAAACAAACGTAATAATAAATAAAAAAATCTTGAATCCAAAAAAAACTATAATTGAGTTTAAATTTTAAAGTGAAAAAGTGCCTGTGCAAAACACTTGAGCGTGGAACTTGGACAACATAAATTTGAAATTTGTCACAATTTTGGCACAAATTCTGTTTTGTGTCCTTTTAATAACCCAGTAAGGAAAACATCAACTCAACTTTCATTAACCTACAATATGTGACAGCAAATATTACCACGTTATTAAACTTTATCTTAAGTTGGTAACTCAACAGGACATTGGCTAGGTTTTTCCACTGACACCTGAAATCAGTTTCTCTTAGATAATTGTTTTATCTTCTGACCCTTTTCCTCTCCTGGTCTCTCTCGATTATCTTATCGAGAACATAATTATAAAGCTGCGGTCTGTTGATGACATTTACATTTTCGATCTCTTCAGCATCTAAACTCCTCGGTGGATTCATGTTTATTAATGATACTGGGGGAGTGGTGGCGCAGAGGTTAGAGAAGATGGGCCCGTGGTCGGCAGGTCGCCAGTTCGACTCCCCGAACCGACAACATCAAAATGTGGGTGGAAAAGGTGAAACACCCACACCTGCTTCCACACTCATTTGCCCCACTCTGGACCCCTGGAAGGCCCTTAATCCCCACAATCTGCTCCCAAACACATCTCTCGCTCTCTCTATCTAAAAAAAAACCCACAAAAAACTCCCGTACTTTTCACCGTATAAGTCGCACCTTGTTACATAAATTTGCATGCTCTGCGATTGACGCGGTGAAGCGACTTGTTTTCTTCCCCTCCATATTTATAAACAATTTTTTTGCTGAGATTTGACCATTTCATTCATTCTGACATGGAAAATATTGACCATTACTATTTTCAGCCACTAGAGGGCCGTCAACCAATATAAAAAGCCAAGTGTCTCATTAATAGGTAAAAGTGGCTATTAATGAGACACTTGGCTTGCCATACAAAGCCACCTTCGTCTCGTTCCAGAACTCCTGGAGCAAACGTCAAATCAGCTGCATTTCACCGAGCCGCCCAGACGAAATGCAGCTGATTTGACCATTAAAGTGCATTTATTAAGCAAACGTTAAACTGAGACGCACCTTTGCTATAATTTCGAGCAAACAAATAATTGTTTTTAAGTGTTAATCTTGTTAAATTCTTGTTAAAGTCCTCCCGTGCACACTCCCGAGACCGCCATTTGGCAGCAAATCGATTTTTGGTACAACACCAGCCCACATTTCTGGGTGGTCAGTGGTAATGCGTAACAAACGCGACGCATCAGCGGTGAAGCATAATTGATGCAACTTGTACTGCGAAGCGACTTATGTGTTTTCCACTTTATTAGCCAAATATGGACTGATGCGACTTATAAGGCAGTGCGACGTGTACGGTAGTAGGAACTTGGCTGCTTTCCTTTATTGCTACTTCATTTGCCAAACTGTCGTTTAAGGTGTATAAAACACTGATGTTGTTGATCTGCAAGCTGAACTTCATAAGTTTATAAGACTGTAAACGGTGATATTATAGAAGAGGTAACAGTTCATAAACATTTGGGAATTTGGATTGATGGCGCTCTGTCCTTTTCTCATAATGTTAATGTTTTGCAATCTAAGGTTAAAGCGAGCGAGACATAGAAATTGATCTTTGTTCACATCTATTGCCAAACGCACCATTGTTGAACAAACCATTCTATTTCTGTTGGATTATGAAGACATAATTTACAGACATGCTTGTAAGGGTGTTCTTCGTAAGCTGGACACAGTTTATCTCTCTGCCACTGGCTTTGTTACAAATGCTCCTTCCAGAACATCATTGACTCTACTCTCTTGTTAAAATGACCTTCTCTACATACTCGTCATGAAATTCAATGGTTTACCCTCATTTATAAGACGTTGCTGAGTTATTCACCTCCATATTTAACTCATCTACTGCAACTAGAACCGGTTTCGAAGTATAGCACCCGATCCTCTCAGTATTTGTGGTTAACAACTCTAAAGACCAAGTCTGGCTTTGCCTCTGCTGCTCCATCTGACTGGAACCTGCTTCAAAAAACTGTAAATCTGACCTCACTTGTCTCAGTTTCTAGTTGAAAAAATTGTTTTAAAGCTGTGCTTCAAAATACTTGCAAATGTTTTCATGCTGAGTAATGATGTTGTTTAACTTTAATAATGAACGGTTAATGTAATTTGTGATTTCCTTGTTTTATTGACGTCTATATTTTATGGTATAACTATTGTTTCCCTTCCCTTGACCCTACAAGCGCCTGTTGGCGCTGCCAGGCCAAGAGTTTGTTCTTAGTGTTTACGCTTCGTTAAATAAAGGTGAAATTAAATGAAAAGTCTTGGGGGGGGGAAAAACTTGGGGTTAAAGGTGTAGCAATCCTTCAAGTAAAAATTGCTTTTATTGTCTACATACCTTTGCTTTCAGCTCATCGTTGAAATGCGGGTCATTAAACTCAACAAAGCGGAAGAAAAGGGCACGTTTCTGAGCGATAGAGTAGTTCCTGGGAATCTCCTCTTCCATGTACTCCTTCAGGAAGGTCATGTTGCAAAGGAAGCGACCAGTGAAAGCTCGCACCAGCTGGAACAGCAGCTCGATCTCTGAATAGTTACGTCTGTAGAGAAAACACTACGTCAGTAACTTAACTGCACTGACAGGACAAGCTCATTCTAAAGTCTACTGCAGTGGCAAAGTGCAGCAAAAGTCTAAAATGTTTTTATGCAGAAGTACCTCTGGTAACAAGTCAGTTACCAATCTTAAATACAAGAAACATCTAAGTGCTGAATGTGTTTCAAGTGAAAACCTACAAGAAAAAAGATCTTCTATGGCTGGAAAAGCATTAAATTAAAACAAGTGGCAAAGTGTAGAGGGTCTTACTAGTTACCAACACAAATATTCACATATAATGTCCTTGTTCTTTTAGGCAGTTTTTTATTTTTTTTATCAAACCACAGTCTGAGCTGGTCAACGTACTTGCAGTAGCTTAACAAGCAGTAGGCCAGCAGCTTAGGCTCCTTCCAGTTGGTTGCAGCCATGTTGTCCTTGCGGTGTCTCTCCTGGAAGGCCTCGCTGACCCAGACTCGCCTAAGCTGGCTGACCAGAGAGTGTTGCCCTGCTAACCACCCCTCGTCATTTTTGACAATGATGCTAATGATCTGAAAAGGCAGGAAGAGAAAAAAAAATGTAGGTAGAGTTAAACAACACTTACAGACAGATAAACTGTGATAAAAGATGGACTAAAGACAACTTTTGTCCTAGCTACTGTTAATATATTGTATTTTTAGCCGTACAAGTCACACCTTTTTGCATAAATTAGCAAGCCTGCGACTTATACACCGAAGCAACTAATATACATTTTTCCCATATTTATAACCCAATTTTTGGATGAGAGCTGACGATTTCATTAATTCTGACATGAACAATATTAAGCATTACCATTAGTAGCCGCTAGAGGGCGCGCGAGGATTATGGCAAGCCAAGTGTCTCATGAGTAGGTAAAAGAGGCGATTAATGAGACACTTGGCTTGCCATAATGCATAATGACGACCACCTTCGTCTCGCTCTGGAACTCCTGGAGCAACCGTCAAATCATCTGCGTTTCACCGCGCCGCCCAGGCGAAATGCAGCTGATTTGACCATTTAAGTGCATTTATTAAGGAAAAGTTCAACTGAGACACACCTTTACTATAGCGTTGCGCAAACAAACAATTGTTTTTAAGTGTTTGTCTTGTTAAAGTCCTCCCGCGCACACTCCCGCGGCCGCCAATTGGCAGCCAATCGATTTTTGGCACAACACCGGCCCACATTTCCGGGTCGTCAGCGGTGACACGTAACAAATGCGAAGCATCAGCGGTGACACATCATAATGGTTTTTTCCACTTCATTAGAAAATTTTGGACTGATGCGACGTGTGCAGAGAAAAGTACGGTATATATACTACTAACAAAAAGAAGCCTATGGAAAATAAAAGCTGTATACATCTTTAAAGCTATGTTACATACCTTGATGGCCTGAAACTGCAGGTCCAGTCTGGCTGTGGTGGTGGAGGGAGATCCAGGTCGAACGGTTGCTGCAGTAACAGCAGGAACCAGCAGGGGGACGAAGCGGTTCGGATTAGAGGCCAACACATCTCTGAGTGGCTTGGCGTCTTTGTGTTTCAGAAAACTCTGCACACAAATAAATAAATGTGCTTTAAAAAAATCACACAAAAACTCACATAATGAAACTAGTAGAGGGGAGGGGAAGAAATTGAATTTAATAGGTGTGATCCATCTCAGTTTGAAGTTTGCTGAACAACTGAGCCTTAAAACATAAAATAAATCCCTCAGGCCATTACAGCAGCTGATATGAAGCAAAATGCTTTTTCTAAAGTCGTAAAAGTCAATGAAAAGAGCTGCGACTGTCTGACCATGAACATTCGGCTCCACTGGGGGTCGTTGAGCGTAGCCTCCATCATGAACAACTCAACCGTCTGAGATGGGTGGCGTGTCAGGAACTTGATCAAAGGCTCCCTGAATGGACTGCCGGCCTACAGCAGGAACAAGTGGGCGAGATGAGATGAAGGGGAAAAAGGCAGAAAATTATATAATACAGGAGCAAACACCCCCAAAATTATGCCACTTTTGTTAAAGTTTGAAAAATATTAAATGCTTTCAGTGATATTAGACTCTAAAGTCTACATTTGTTAGCTCCTAACAAATATAGATAATATAGAAATATATTGATCCCACAGGAAATTGTGCCTGAGTTTCAGTACAAAGGAACATGCACAAGGAATCACACGAGATATAAAAAACATCTTGTGTATGTTCTTTATTGTTCCACATTTTCCTAACAGAGCACTTCGCTCTCAGACTGCAGGTTTACTCGTGGTTCCTAGAGTTTCCAAAAACAGAATGGGAGGCAGATCTTTCAGTTCTCAGGCTCCTCTCTTGTGGAACCAACTTCCAGTTTCTGTCTGTGAGGCTGACACATTGTCCAGTTTTAAGACTGGGATTAAAACTTTCCTTTTTGATAAATCCTATAGTTAGGGTTGGCTTGGGTTTCCTGAGCTATCCCTTAGTTATGCTACTATAGGCTTAGACTGCTGGAGGACAAACTGACATTTCTTCACTCTGCTGCTGTCTTTACTTGCTCTACTCTAACTGTTGTGTATTTCTACCTGTTTTGTATTTGTAACTATTTTTATCCTCATCAGGTAGTTTTTTTTGTATTTCCTCCTATAGAAAGTTCACCTGCACCTAAATCTGGACCTGCCATTCTGTGTTCGTCCGTTTCTCCTTCCTGTCCTCTCAAACCCAGCCGGTCGAAGCAGATGGCCGTTCATCCTGAACCTGGTTCTGCTGGAGGTTTCTTCCTGTTAGAAGGGAGTTTTTCCTTTCCACTGTCTCCTTTGTGCTTGCTCAGGATGGGAGACTGTGATGAAGTGAAGATACAATGCAATCTATTGACTTCCTTAGATAGATAATATTTACTAATTGGCTTTTGTATGTATGTGAATGTTTCAGTTCAGTGTCCTGAGAAAACTTCTGTAGTGATTTGGCGCTATATAAATAAACTGAACTGAATTTGTGTTCAGCGCTCTCTGATCTTCAGAATAGATGTAGGTCCTACCTCAATGAGCATTGCTCTTTCTGTCTTCATGACCACCTCCAGCAGAGGTTTGACCAGAGTCTGAGGTGCAGCTGGGATTAGGTGAAACAGGTTAATGATGGCAGAGCAAATCTTCATCTCCTACAAGAAGATTCAGAGAAAGACAGAGGGGAACAAAAGGACAGGATACATTGTTTTGGAATGAGTGTTGAAGTCACTGAAACGTTCTGACGAACAGCCTGGACAGACCGCCACTGTGGAAAGACCAGGATGAATCTTAGCCAGACTACAGGAAATGTAATCTGTAACAAATAGGTCGTTAATTTCACATGGTTGCGCCGCATGGATTAAATCTGCACAAAATACCACAAAACACAGAAAATCTTGTGTTAGCGTCTTTGAAATGCAAAAGTGAGAGGAAATATTGGGAGAGATAAGACGGTTTTAAACAGTTAAAACGTGAAGATAACCTACGATGACGTTAACATCGCCGAACAAGACCACATACACATGGACATAGAAATACAGGGCACGTCTACCACCAGCACAACATCGGTTCAACGTTTCAATCACTAACAAAAAAACACTAACAGAGGACGCAACACTGGGTCACATCTCACCTCAACACCCTCCAACGCAGGCTGTACCAAATGGGAGACAACGGTCAGAGTCAGCAGAGGAAAGTGTGTGTGTGTGTGTGTGTGTGTGTGTGTGTGTGTGCTTTTGTGTGTTGTTTGTCTTTGTCCCCATAAGGAAGGGAAGCAGATAAGACAGGGACAAAGAGAAGCAGCAGAAGTGACCGCAGGGTAATGTTTCTCATCACCAAGTCCATAAAAAGGCAAGAATCGTTTTGAAATCTTAGCTGGTTAACACCGATTTTATGACATTACAGGAGAAAACACAAGTGCCTCACACTAACACTACAAAAAGTGACTTTGTTACATTAGAAATGAACATTTCACTCATAAAAAAAACTCCCAAATCTTTCTTAAAAACTCCTCTATTCTCTTCCCTGTCAAAACTCTCTAATGTCTACATGGACCATCTTAACCTCCACCCCGGCACCGTCCGTCCTTTCCTAGTTTTAGTCTTTATCAGGCTAAGCTAATTGACTTCCTGACCCCGGCTCTACTGTCCCTGCCAGCCTCGCTGTCATCACGCACAAAGAACACAATTTGGAGGGCAGGGGAAGACAAAAGGCCAATTTGCATCTAATTAAACATCACTTTGAATCGAGTCAGGATGAACTTGGATAAAGAGACACGGGCGGGGAAAGTGTCTATGAGGAAGAAGCAGCTGTATTTTCTCCTCCCTGTCACCTTTTCTTTGGCTTTACAAGGTTATCTGTCGGGGGAGGATTGGGGGAGGGGGTGCAGTGCTGGGCCCACCACCGCCTGCCTGGCGCCTAATTAATCATTGATTGAAATATGGACCCTCACAACTCATCAGAGGCGGCCACGCAGCGGCTGTTGACTACATGTGACTATGGCTTTGTGAGTACAAAGAACGTCTCTTCTCTTTCAGTGTAGTTTAAGCTCGACAGATTAGCTAAACAAAAGCTGTGACAGCCGACAGCCATATTGACCTGTGCCTTCTGCTTATGAACGTTCTGTGTTGGAGAGAACTAGAGTGATAGAAAAACAAAAGCCAGAGGACGCATCTACCTTCTGTGTAGCACTTGAAACTGTGCGGTGAGTATGCAGGATGTGTGTTTGCTTACACTGCCGTCGCTACGCTGTCCTCCTTTGTGAGTTATTACAACCACTTCCATCCATTTCCGCAGGTGTTGCTGAGAAAAACCAAAGCGAAAACACAAGAAGAGACTTTGTGTCATAAACTTTACCTCAGCAGGTCAAATTTGATACCAACAAGGAACAAAGTTTTTGAGCGATAAATTACTAAAGTAGCACATAATAATGCAAATGAACATGTATTTGTGAAATTTGCTTAAATTTAAAATTATCATAAAGCAGATGAGTAAAAAAAATCAACAGCTGGGCAGTCACAAATAGTCAGGACAACTGATGAAGCTAATTGTGATTAATTGTTGACAACGATGCTTTTGGTAAACAAGTTTTATAAGTTTATCTTAAATTACTTAAACATCTCAATTGACATTCTTTTTCCTCAGTCAAGTTCCTGACGTCTCATCTGACCTAAAGTTTCTAACGATCACAACGGAAACGATGAATTAAGACACTTAATTATGACACAAATTAAGACAAATTATGAACTAAGCCAAAGGTGCATAAACTAGGGCCATGGTGCAATAATATTTTTTCCTTAATTCTAAGGAAAAAAAACTCAGAATTATGAGATTAAAGTCAGAGTTATGAGATTTAAGTGAGAATTTGAGAAAAAGGTCAGAATACTTAGATTAAAGTCAGAACTAATTCTGACTTTTTTTCTGAGAATTGTAACTTTAATCTCAGAATTTTTTTTTCCTCAGAATTTTGACATTTTTCCCTCAGAATAAAAAAAAAAAAAAAAAGTTTGTTGCACCGTGGCCCTAATCCTTTTCTATACTAAACTGTGGGAGTACTTCATGCTAGCTAATTTAAATCTCAGTCTTAAAAAAATATTTATAATAAATAAAATACTATATAAAATTAAAGTACAAGTATGATAAGAAAGACATAAATTATATTAAAAGAGGATTTGGCAAAGCTACAGTTCATTACATTTTAAATAATTGCAGTTTATTGGTTTCTCTCTACTTTCTGATAGAAATAGCGACTGAATCTCTGCAAAATAACAATTTCCTTGAAGCAGCTTGAGCAAATAGTATCAATTCAATTCAATTCAGTTTATTTATATAGCACCAAGTCATAACAGAAGTCATCTCAGGGCACTGAACAGAAACATTCATATACATCTTTACATCATCTTTACAACAAGCTAAATATCATTTTATATGATTAAATATATAATTTGTTCCAATTGTTTTCACATGAAGGAGTTAGTACTTGAAACATACATTTTGTACTTTAATTTGTAAGTTGTTAAAATATTATGTAGATTTTTTTGGAAGAAAAAATTGGTTCAGATTGATCAAAAATTGAGTTGGAAGATTAAACAAAATAAAAACAGTTGTTAGTGGCAGCTCTAATTACAGCTGACACAACACACAACAGTCTGCACAGAGCAGCTGACGACTCCAGCTCTGTTGGTTCTTTGCTTCTTCTGAAGTTCTAGTCTCTGACAGCTGCCTACAGGGAGCGAATGTGGAAGCAGCTCAGAAGATCAAATGCTTGTTTTATGCTGGGGTTCCCATGCTCAGGCTCAAACACAGAGCTCTTACATGTCAAACAAACAGAAAAGACTCAAGAGGAGCAGACGCTGAAGAGTCTCACCATCATCTGATCACAGAACTTGTCATTGAAGGAGTTGGGGAAGAGGCGCGTGACCGAGGTCAGGCGGTTCACAACGTTGAGCGTCAGGCTGCGGTAGTCGCCCAGCATCATCAGCAACGGGCGCATGTGCGTGTGGATCTGGTCCACCTCAATAGTGGCACCTTCCAGAAACTACAAGAGTCCAGAAAAAGATGCGTTACAGATGCAGAAGACACACCCTGTCCCATCACCAGACTGCAGCAGTGTTGTTTGCTCTAATGTAATGAATCCTAAACAAGAAATATTTCTAAAGGTTATACTTTTGAACACACTTCATGGTCAGATCTTTACCCTGAAAGTGTTCCCCATAATTACATGAACTTTTCTTTAACCGTCTTTTTGCAGCATTTTATCCTCCATGCAAACTTCATACTTGGGTCTCAATTTACAACTAAGGCCACTGAAATGAGAACATGATGAGAGGTAAACAAACACAGATGCCAACCAAACACTGATGACGCACACTCTCCCACAGACATGGGGGGGGGGGGGGTGATGCATGGCAGCCACATTCATTTTCCCTCTCAGCGCTGAGAACAAACACTCCATCCTGTATCGATCTAGCCATGGCAACGCTCATTAGTACTAGCAGGGTGGAGAAGAAAGAATGGAGAGAACAGAAAATGAAAATAGAAAGGGGGTGGGGGGGGGGGGGGTCACAGAACATTGAAGAGGAGTGACAGTGTTAGGAAAGAAAAGAAAAATAAGGATAAAGTGTGAGGAGTAGGATAAAAGGCTAGACTGAATGGATAGAAGGAGAGCTGGTTCAGGGACAGTGTGATAAAGCTCAGGAAGGTTCGTATGAAGATAAGTGGGAGGGAAAATGATGGGGGGGGGGGGGGGCAAACTCCATTCAGAAAATGTGATTTAGAGAAAAAAAATAAAGGGTGTGACCATGTTTCGTGCAGAGATTGCGTCTCACCTTAAGGGCACAGACTAATCTATAATTACAAAGGTTATGTTGCTGATCTACGGCCGTGCTGTGGCTCAAATGAGATGGATTGAGTGATATACCACAGGTGCGAGTTTTCCAAGTAACAGAAATTAAACCTCAATCGTTAATTCAAAAACAAAAAGGTGGTGGGAGTTTCTGTTTACCTTCACATTTAGCCTCACTAAAATACAGACAGGTACATATGGGTTTAATACAAGAAGACACGTGTGTATTAGCCACTTCTATCAAGTGGTTCATTTTAAATGAGACGCTGTTCTATAATTAAACCAGGGCAACAGTATTTGCTATTTACTCAGTTTGACAAGTTCATGTAAAAGTGTAACACAAAGCAATATAAAGTTTAAAAAGGAACAGGAAAGACAACAGTGTGTGAGAGGGTGCGCCGACCTTCCTCATGCACGCTTCGCCTGCTTCCTGCAGCTCGTTGTTGGTGGAGTTGAGGGCTTTAAACAAAGCAGCAATGATCTTCTCCCTCGACTGTGGCAAGTAGTTACAAGCTGCCAGAGCATCTGGACGAGGGAAGAACACCAAGACTCACTTTCACTCTGAATGTCGCTTTACAAAAATACACACAACATTTGAAGCAAAGAAGTGCACACCACTTATTCAACAGGGGTGAACTTAATATTATAGAAAGTGGCACAACAGCTCAAAATCATGGTGTCACACTGTTTTTTTTTTGGTTAAAGCTCTTGACTTTTGAAATGAGGAAAACTGAAAATATTACTACTTGTAAAAAGTAATAATACATAAAGTTGAAACCAGAAGTTTACATACACTTTTTACAAAGACACATGCATTTTTTTTTTCTCACTGTCCGACGTGAAATCAGAATAAACTTTTCCTGTTTTAGGTCCATTAGGATTACCAACATTTTTTCCATTTTCAAAATACCAGAATAATGAGAGAGATAATTTTTACTGCAATTTTTATTACTTTCTTCAAAGTCAAAAGTTTAAATACACTAAGATTACTATGCCTTTAAACAATTTGGGACATTTGTCATGTCTTTGGAAGCTTCTGATAGGTTCATTGATAACATCTGAGTCCATTAGAGAAGCACCTGTGGATGTAAAGGAACACCTGAAACACTCTGCTTCTTTGTGTAACATGGTGGGAAAGTCAAAATAAATCAGCCGACATGTCAGGAAGAACTGTGGACTTGCACAAGTCTGGTTCATCCTTGGGTTCAATGTCCAGATGTTTGAAGGTGCCTCGTTCATCTGTACAAACAGTTATACACCAGTACAAACAAGATGGGAATGTCCAGCCATCATACGGCTCAGGAAGGAGACGGGTTCTGTGTCCCACAGATGAACGTGTTTTGGTCTGAAATGTGCAGATCAACCCAAGAACAAGAGAAAAGACCTGGTGAAGATGCTGGCTGAAGCTAAGACTCTGTCATCATCCACAGTGAAACTGTGTGGACATGAGCTGAAGGTCACTCTGCAGGAAGAAGACATGACTTCAAAAGAAACATAAAAAACAGATCAATGTTTGTTAATGCACACAGGGACAAAGACCTGAACTTCTGGAGACATGTCCTGTGGTCTGAAGAAACTAAAACTGAACTGTTTGGAGGACAAACCCTGAGAACACCATCCAGACTGTGAAACACGGGGGTGGCAGCATCATGTTGTGGGGTTGTTTTGCTTCAGGAGGGACTGGTGCACTTCACAGAATAGATGACATCATGAGGAGAGAACATTATGTGGAAATACTGAAGCAACATCTCAAGACATCAGCAGGAAGTTAAAACTTGGGTCTTCAAATGGACCATGACCTGAAGCATACTGGCAAACTGGTTCCAGAGTGGCTCAAGGAGAACAAAGTCATGGTTTTGGAGTGGCCATCACAAAGACCTCCAAACATGGCCCAGTTCCACCAGTTCTGTCAGGAGGAATGGGACAAAATTCCTGCCAACTATTGTGAGAAGCTCGAGGAAGGAGATCCACAACGTTTGATCCAAGTCATGCAGTTCAAGAACAATGGTACCAAATACTAATGACGTGTATTTAAACTTTTGACTTTGAAGAAAGTAATGAAAATTGCTGTAAAAAATTATCTCTCTCATTATTCTGGCATTTTGCAAGTATATATATTTTTAATCCTAATTGACCTGAAACTGGAAAAGTTTATTCTGATTTCACATCAGTGTGAAAAAAAAGTGTCTTTTTAAATGGTGTATGTAAACTTCTGGTTTCAACTGTAGTTGGGACTACTTACTGAGTGCAGCAATACGGAGGGGAACCAGGGAGGGCAGGCTCTTATAACAAGGCAACTTCATCAGAGCAGCATCCTCTGCTTCACACAGGTTCAAAAGCTGAATGGAATAGAAAACTCAATCACTAATGTTAAGCACAAGGGGCAAAAGTTTATTACAGTAGATTTAAGTTTATACCCCACAAAGTCGCCTAATATGAAAACAACAACTAATTGTACGTTTTGTTTTCATATAAAATAGCGAGAAATTCACAGACAATTGTGACAGTGCTTGAAAGTGTCTTTAAGTTTCATACCTCTGTGTAGAAGACCTTATGCTCCATGACATTGAGGTCCATTGTGAAGAGACGGGGCTGCAGAGTGGTGCAGAAGGTGTTCCCCTCCATCAAACCGATTTGGGCGTTCGCAGGCTGATGCCGCAGCAGGTGCTTCTTAGGAGGAACCATATCCTGCAAAACCTGAGGAGAACGTTGGTTTAGATGAGTCTTTATTTCAGAAAGTCAACTGTTAAATCTGACAGAGAAATAATAACTACAAATTAGGAATGCAAGATATTGGACTTTGGCCGATATCCGATATGCCAATATGTTAAAACTTATTTGGCCGATAACCGATACCCCATACTAAATTTGGCCGGCTACCAAATGTAGATGCCAAAAAGGAGGCTGAAAATGATGCAACACTATATAAATATTTAATATATAATTTTAAAAAACAGCGCCTTTTATATCGATGAGTTATTTTGATGGAACGGCCTATGTCCGATATTTAACTTTATCGCTAATATCGGCCGATACCGATACCATGCCGATAATATCGTGCATCCCTACTAAAAACAAGTAAAATATATACAATTGCTCAGTTAGAGCCGCTATATTACATGCATGTTACTAAAAGCTACCTTTGGATTTGAACGGACGCGTTATACTGAAGAGTTTACCACAGTAGTCTTAATAAACTGAAACCTTCCGGTTTCTTTTTATTTCACCTCTTTGTGTGGTTCCATGATGACTGTGACACTCTTTCCAGTGACTTGTGCTAAAACCTGCAGGGAGTGCATGGCCTGTTTTCTGACAGTGGAGTTAGGGGAGGTGACTTCTCGGACGAGGTCATGGGTAACCATGTGGAAAGATTTGTCCTGAGCAGCCAGCAGCTCTTCTGTCTTTTCTTCATCTTTCAGTGGAGTGGCACAGCGCACCAGCAGCTGCTCTAGGGTTGTCTTTGCCATGGCTACAGCCCCGTTTGACACCTGTGTGAAAATCGATGAGGTAATAAATACAATACGTTACCAGTAAGGGTATGAAAAGACTGGTAAAATGAGATATTAAACCTCTCCTGCTGCTGGCGGGAACTGACAAAAGGTAAAAAAGCACTATTAGCAAAATAACAATATATACAACCTCACCTCTCCAGTGAGGTCCATCATGACAAAAAGCAGGGCTTTGAGGAAAGTGAGCTGGTTCTGTAGCACCCAGATCAGAGGCAGTCTTTCCATCAGAAACTTGATGGACACCACGCCCCCCAGTTTGGCGTACCAGGCCTGCTCATAGCAGCAGGCACACAGACGCTCGACTATGTAGGAGAATAAGGGCAACTGGCACGCCTGGGGGTGCAAAACATGAGTGATTAAGAGTGAATCTGGTGAAAATATAAAAATAATTCTGCAAATTAAATAAAAAATGTGTGTGATCCAGGATCTTAAGGAGCGTTTGCAAAGATGTCACATCTCTTACAAAGAAAAACAAACTTACTCGTTCCTTGGAGCCGAGGATGATGCTGGCCACGTCAAAGATGACAGCCAGAGCCACTTCTCCGATCTTACACAGCTCCTTCTCCTCGTAGGCCATGCAGATAGCGATGGCGTCGATAAGCACCAGTGGATCCATGCCCTTCGACCCGTTCTCCTCACTGTGGAACATGGCTGTGCTTGGCTGGCTGCCCAGCTGGTAGCACGGCAGCAGGAACGGACCTGGGACGAAGAACGGAGGCGAAGAAAAAGAACTTCTGGTTCACATTAAATATTAAACTTTTCATTTTGGCTTCTTGAAAAGTTTCTTAGCGTACGTCAAAACAACATTTTTGCTCAATGTTTAAAATGTATTTTCATTTTTTTTTAGTTGAATGCAAATTAGAAAAAAAAACATACGGCAACTACTAAAAAGAATAAAACAGACATGTCATGTGAAAAATAATAACATGAGTCATGTTTTGTGCAGCTTAGAAATACGGCCATTGCTTTACAGAAAGCTAATATTAGCCCTGAGAAGTAATGAGAGCACACGTCCTCACCACACTGCTGAGCCACAGCGACCATGGTATAATGCCGAATGAGACTGGCAACGAAGGGCAGCGCGCTGGGCCTCAGGTCCTTTATCACAGCCGACATGAATGCCCCAGTCAGTGCCTGTTCAAATGTTCTGCGAGCGGGTGTGTCTTGCGCCTTGTAGCGATGAGAGATGATGACATTAGGAATCCACTTGTCCGTAAAGCTAATGGAGAGAAAACAGCGACAAGAAAGGTACGGCAGTAATATTAGTGTTTGCCGATGCCCCAAAATAATTCATATTGTAAGCGCATCAGACTTCTGCTTAATGCTTTTACTTCAGTCTGCCTGTCGACTACTTGTTTGTATTATTTTTACAGCAGCTGAAGGGAGCGAGCAGCTGTTTCCTCCATGCTTGAGCTTGTGTCTTATAATGCCACACGTCACAGGCAGAACTGAAGGATCACTACATGTTATCAGTGCTGTTTATTTTTTATTGTTGACTGCTCTTTGGAGGAGTAAAAGAGATGTTCACGTTTGCATTTGAGGCTGCTCAGACCTGTCATCTAAACCGTACTTTCTGGTGTACGAGTCGCAGTTTTTGCCAGTGCTGCAACTTATACGCCAAAGCGACTTATATACATTTTTTTTTCCATATTTGTAACGCAATTTTTGACCGAAACTTTACATTTCGAAGAACTGCAACAGTGAGTCCTCCCGTGCGCACTCGGCTTCACTCAGCTGGTGCAGGCGGAGGAACGCTGGAGAGCTAGCAGCTCCGGCCGCGATGGCTTGATGGACGGATGGCGCCATGCCACCCAGGCGAAATAAAGCTGTTCATTAAATAAATGCATAATAAATGCGACTTATACGCCGAAGCAACTTATATATGATTTTTTCCTCTTCGTGATGCTTTTTTTTTGACTGATGCGACTTATACTCCGGAACATATGGTAATTTGTCTCGGTAATTCAACTGTGAGCGGTCAATTCTATTTTTAAATCTGTTTGAACATTTCTTTAAAATGTACAATACATTCAGATATCCAAACTATAACACGGTTCAAAAACATTTTGTTGAATTATCTCTTAATAAACCTATTTACTGAACTCTGTGTCTGAGCAACTATTAAAGGTTTTGACCAATAAGACTCCATAATGCAGTGTCCCCCACCATTATACAAGCAGGGCACACCCCCCACCCCTATCAGCACCGACGTAGCACTAAGCTAGCGGCGTGCAATTACATACCAAGCACGCTAGCTAAAAAGCTAAAGGCAGCGCTCACACTGCCTCTTCACTTACGTTGCACCCCCCCATGCCTGCCATCAAACTGTCGGTACAAACAGCACGCAGCTCAGGACGTGTCTCCACTTCCCCCCCAACCCCGTTGACAAAAATCACAGATGAGATGAGCGCCCCTCCATGGCAGGTTATCTAGGGGAACCACTGCAATGCAATGTGTTTGGGTCATCATGACACAACGTAACACAGCTCAGACTGTCGTTTTGTGTTTGACATGACACATTACAGCTCACAGCGAGCCCAACCAGCCCTCAAGACAATCACAACAAACTTAACTGAGGAGAACGTCACCCATACGCCATCCTCTAGTCTACTACGATTAATAAAATCACAAGAAAAACATGTATGAATACAGAGAAGGGTTCTGGCAACCATTTCAATAACACTTATAGGAATTTATTTTTTTTAAAAAGCCATTTCTTCCCAAGAATGTCGGTTAAATTATCCAAAATCAACCCTAGGATGTGCACTCTGCTGCCAGCCAAAGGGCGAATGCACATTTATTAACAATGACTGGTAAACATACCTGGTATAGACCTGACATAAATGACAGAAAGTCAAGCGTGTCAAAAAGTTACAAGACGCACGGAGATAACTTGGATGTTGAGGTTTGGAGGAGGCCACAGGAAAGATCAAGTAGGTGGTAAACAGATCAATTGCTGGTGTCAACTAAACGCCTGAATATTAATTTAACATGCATCTTTCTGTGACAAATTATATTCCCACAAGCTAGTTAGCATGTAGTATTTTCACATTGAAACCAAAATGGCATCCATGCATGCATACATGGATGGATGGACGGATGCTTTATTGTCCCCAAGGGGAAATTTGTCGTGGACGTTGTGCGCTAAGCAAAGCTTCTTCCACAATTAAATACACTGCAAACAATAAAAGTTATGTGAACACCACAATAAACAGTAAATTAAAAAAACACCTATTGCTCAATAAAAACACATATTGCACATTCCCACGTTCATTCCAGCAATGAAACGAAACAACAAATCAGACCAGAGCATCAGCAGCACGACAAAAACTCTATATGCCTGCTTTACATGGCACAGTCAATTCAAATCCAGAATGTTTACTCACTTGGGATGAGACAGGAGCTGGTAGAGAGCGTGTTTATTGTCGTCCAGACTTGTCATGGCCACCAGGAAGCACTTAATGACCTCCCAAGCCTGCCGCCTGTAGTAGGGCTCTGTGTTGGCACTCTTCAGACAGTCGAGAGCCGTCTCTATTGCCTAGGAATAAACAGAAAATGCAAAAGTTAATCATTTATTTTTAAGATTTTGGTCTAAAAGGACTTTTTTTTTTTTTATGTAAAAGCCAATGATGTTAAATTATTAATATGGAAAACTAACAGTATTTCTATATGTGTGATTAAGTGCAAGAAGGAACACTGAGCACCATCTGGACGAGTAAAGGTCATTATCATTTCTACATTATGAGCTGTCAAGCCACAGCGGCCAGGCACTTAAAAATGGAGAAAATGAATTAATTATTGCCACTCAGAACAGAGAGGAAGGATGAGGAAAAATCTGAGAATTAAGAGAGGAGATGAGGGTTCAGCAGAAATGAATTGCAAAACGTTCAGTATGTCAGGATATTTCTGTCGGGATTCGTTTTCTGACGAGTAAACGTGCGCTAATAACCGAATATTCACTTACAAGTTAAAACCTCTTTTAAGGCCAATCTTCTTAGGAAAGCACAGCTTTGCTTAAAGGCTTGTAAAAATGGATTTATACAAGACACGGCCAATAAAAAAATGAGACAGAAATAAATGAAAGAAATAGAAAAAACTTCCAAGATAAAAATTACGTTATTTGATCTTTTGATTTATTTTGCACCCAGAAACCCGTGCCTACTTCCTGTGCATACAGGTGTGCATCATGTGAGTGTGTGTGGGGGATGTGCTCTCTACATCCATGGTGCTGGCAAACACACAGACTGATGGCCAAGAAAGGAAAGCAGCCATTAGAGAGTAAATAATGCCGTCATGGTAGCCCGCAGTAGATTGATGATTACTGAGAGGGGATGAGGAGAAACAAGACATGAATTTAATTACCTGGAGGACTCGCAAACCTCCTTACTCACACACACTCACACAAACCCGTGACAAAGATATATTGCTCTCAGCGGAGAACAATAATGAGGAATAGCAAGTTCTTTTATGCTCAAGTCCCTCTTTCTTGAACCCAAATAAAAAGGAAAGACGGGGCAAAAGGGCTTTTAGATTTGTTTCAGACAGAACCCGTCACCACATTTCCATCATCATCTCACCTTTTCCATGGGAAGCTGTATAGACGCTTTGCAGTCAGTGAATTCCACCTTTATGCTCGGTCCCTGGACCTCAGTCACCACATAATGAAGTCTCTGCGACTCCTTCAGCATCTTTCTGTTGCTGCCTCCGAACTTTCCCAGCACCCGGTACGCTACGTGGGAGATGCTTTCTGCCGGATTGCGGAGAGTTCGCCACAAGGCCTGGAACACAGGGTTGAACCGTGACACAGAACGAGCTTTAGAGTCAAAATAGAAGAACTGTGCAGGGGAGGCCGACAAGAGCAACGTATTGTTACAGCCATTTCTATTATTAGACTAGATCAGCATAAAGCTACAAAGGCAGACAGTAAATCACTGACTTGTTTGTTTTATAGATTATAGATTGGTTTTGCAGATGTAAACCAGCCTTCTCTCTCCAGTGGTGATAAAGAGACTTGGGAGTTAACCTAACTTGGCGATTCTTCTGCAGACATTGATGGCCCCCCTGTTAACTCCTAAAAGGCAGCTTTGCTAAATGAATGAATTCAATTAATCTGAAGTTCTTTAGGCGATCTCGGACATACTTTGCAACTCAAAACATCCCTCCGTAACAAGAGTTTGTGAGCACAGCAACGATTATTTCAACAACTTCCCACCTGCATGAGTTCAGCCCTGACAGGTTGGATGTGGTCGTAGAGAAAGTCGGGCTGCAGGTTGTCGACACACAGCTCCAGGGTACGGAGGCCCTGGCTGACGAGAGTCTGAGAGCCGTTGAGCGCAGACACCAGTGGATCCATCAGCATGGGTAAGTAGGGCAGCAAGGAGCTCAGACGCACCGGGACTGTCAAACACAACTCCACAAACAGGTCCTTCATGTGCTGCTTGTGGAGGCCACTTTGAAGCATGTTCAGACCTAAGAGAGATGGGAATAGGCCTGTCACGATAACTAATTTTGCTGGACGATTAATTGTCTCAGAAATTATTGCGATAAACGATAATATTGTTTGAAATTTGACAATTAGTAGTTATTGTCAAATTTAAGAAGAAATGTTGGTTAATTTTTGTGTTTAGTACCTTTTTTTGGACACTGGATGGCGGTATAAGACTGTTTGAACTGAAGGATGGATAGTGAGGGAGCGAGCAGCGGCTCTAAGAAAAATGGGAGGGAGGCCCTTTGACGAGACATGGGCTCTCTCTCTTTCCTTTTTTTCAGTTCTCAAAATGGCGGACGCTCGGTGTGGTTTGAGCTCTTTAGCATAGCCTTTGTCACACAAAGCTTTTAATAAATAATCAGTAAACAAGTTCTCTGTTTCTTTTTGCAGAGAAAAACAACTTTTTAGACGAAGGCGCGGGTTTCAACCGTGAATTTTGGAGCTTAGACAAGACTAATTGTCAAACATAGCAGAATAATGGAATGAGAGGTTGTACCCTGCAGCAGGTTAGGGAGAAGAGGTAAAAACTCCTGGTAGAGGAGGTCATGGCTGCCTCCACCGATGGAGCGAAAGAGAGCCCGCAGAAGCAGGAAGTAGTTGTAGGGCTCCTTGGCAGACTGTGCCAGCTCCATGGAGCTGTTCACTATCTTGTGGAGGTGTGGCTGAGAAAATAAAAGACCAGTGTTTTAGAGAGAAAAGGCTTTTAGAAGGCTCTTTATTTTATTTAATGTAATAAAAATGATAAATTACCTTCAGCATCTGCTCATTCTCAGCAGCAAACAGCGACACAGAGCCAAAGACAAGCTTAAAGAGTTTGAGGTAGAGGTTTGAGAGCTCAACATTGGAGCCCATCTCCGGCAGCCTTTCGAGAAGATACTCGACCAGGATGGTAGCAAACAGAGCTGACGTTGACAGGTTGGCCAGGAAGGAGTTTGCCACGATCTAGCAAAAATTCAACAACAGACCTTGTGTTTTATTATGCATTTATACATACATTTGTAATTTGGCACAAAATACACCACTCTTCAATGAAAGCAGGGGTGTCCAAAGTGTGGTCCGAGGGCCATTTGTGGCCCTTGGAGTGATTTTGTGTGGCCCACGACTGCAATTAAAAAATGGTATAACTTTGACCCACAGGTATAGATGTAGACCTTCTTTAATGGTGGTACTTGGCTAAATATAACAAGTGTTTTTAAAGAACATAATTTCAGTTTATTTAATAATCGATGGGGAGAACTTGGACATTTTTAAAGAATATAAAGTATCATCAACATACAACTGATCAACTTTATCAGTGTCCTGTCCAACTTCACTGACAGCTGTTTTTCAGAACTCTGATGACCCAAATGGGCCGTCCATGGTCCAAATGGGGAATTGAAGTCCCCCCCCCCCTTTTTTTAAAAGAACAGTTACTCATTTTAGGCTTTTGTCTCTGAAAATAAATGAAAATGAACTTTCAAAGCACAAGAAAACAAATCATAGACCCCCCAAAAATCTAATAAATTTAATTATTTAAGTAAAAAAAAGTTAGTTTATGAGGCTCCTAATATTCTGGATCTACAATAATTTAAACTCAACTTTTAACCTTTCTCCAAAATATTGTTGGAAGTTGTTGAGAGTTTAAAAATGGGGGTGTCGGTTGGGTAAATCACGCTTTTTAAATATTTTTATTTTCTTAAATTCACATTTTTCTGGCCAGCGAGTCCTTTCATCTAGTTCTGGTCCACACCTGATTTAAAGTATCAAGTTTTTATTCTTATTCACCTGCAATGCATAGTTCTTGGAAATCCTCTCCACCATGTAGGGCACAGTTGTCTGGAAAATCTCCTTAAAGGTGAGTGGGTTCATCATGGTGAAGACTCCAGCGAAATGCTCCAGAACTTCTTTCTCCTCCTTCATGCGCACCGTCTGGCAGTTGGCCACTCTGATGTAGGTCTGCTGGTTGTTAGCAACTTGAACCTTTTTTTAGTAAAAAATAAATAAAACAACGAGCTCAGAGCAGCCTGTTGAGTAATTCCCATTTTTACAACATTTTGTTCTTGTCTCTGCTTTAGACCTGATCAAACACCTGAAATGATGCAGCTAACTCGTTGTGTCATTACCTGGTAGATGTCCAGGGCCTGCATGGCATATTTGACCAGTTTAATGTAGATTTGAGTCTCTTTTGGCTGCAGTTGCTTGTTAGGAATGAACTGAGCCTCTGAAAAACAAAATCATAATAAAAAGTAGGCAATTAAAAGTAAACCAATGATATTCATGCATTCAAATATTAACATTTTTAGTTGTTTTCGTGGATAATATTGTCAATGTTCTCCATGGTTTAATAAATAAATCACATTTACTGTAATTTCCGGACTATTGAGCGCACCTGAATATAAGCCACGCCCACTAAACTTAAAAAGAAAAGAAAATGATGCATATACAGGCCACACTCGTCTATAAGCTGCAGGTGTCCACGTTGTACCACGAGATAATTACACAAAATATATTTTTAAATGCAATTGCATACATACCGTAACATACACAAATACGTACAGTAATTAGTTTTTTCTGAAAAGTGCCTGTGAGGAAGTGAGGCAGGAGGACGGAGGACAGCTTGTGCTGTCGTTTTAAATGCATGACTCACACTTAATTCGAGTGGCTGCAAATACGTTCCGCTCTCCCTGGGAGCACACCGGGGAGGGGAGGAGAGAACAGGAGTGGAACCCAGTTTCATTGGTCATTGGTTTGGTAATTTCACTGGTCAATTTTTTTTTTAAACTTTATTTTTACAAGTAGTCTAACTGAGTCACGAGGGTGCGGTCTTCTCAAAGTCGAGTTGGAGACACCACCGCCTGCAAAGAGAGACATGCAATGGACAGCCATGTGCGCTCCCAGGTGTGATGAAGATAAATGCTTTGGCAGCATGAAGCTCTTTAGCCCATCAAAAACAAAAATCCATAAATTAGCCGCAGCGTTGTATAAGCCGCGGGATTCGACGCGTGTGAAAAAAGTGGCGGCTTATGGTCCGGAAACTACGGCATGTGCTGAACAAAGTCCAAAAATGTTTTCCTCACCTCCAGGAGCTTTGCAAGAGGTGATGCCCCAGGTAATGGTCTTCACCCCACACACCAAGGTCTTGACTAAGCTGCGACAGTCCGACACCTGAAAGGTCTGTTTGTCCTCTTTGTCTCCGGGTCGATCAAAAGGTGTTGCTGGGGCTGGGGGCGGAGCTGCAACAGGCGTCGGAGGAGCGGGTGGTGGAAGGGCAGGGGTGGTTGAAGGCGTGGGAGTGGCAGGGACCCCAGGTAATACCCCTGGGTCAACCATACCCATCTCTGACTGAGGTTTGCATTTTTTAAAGATGGAGACGAGCTGGTAGCGTGCAATGGTGTGAAACTTCAACACAAACACCTTAAAAAAATAAAATAAAATTATTTACTTTCATCGTCATCTTTCTAAGTGTTTTTGATACAGAAGCTGTGATAAGTTACCTCCAGCATCCTCATCAGAATGTCTCGCCCGTTCCCATTTTCCTGCTCCGACTTGGAGCGGATACAGTCCACCAGGTTGAGAAGCAGCTTGCAGGACATGGTCTGGATGTTACTGGGAAGCGACTCGTCATCGATGTTCTTAGCAAAGAGCTGCACAGCTAGAGATAAATCTGTCAGGGGCAAGTTCTGGCGAACGTGGTGAACCAGATCTGCCAGCGTGCTGTAGGCCAAGGGTCTGGAAAGGAAGACGTAGACGGGAAACTTCCATCAGCATTATAATATGATTACGGATTAGTGGGGAGCAGCGTAATCATTGAGGGTGTAGCTCTACAGTCTATAGCTAGAGCATGGGGAGGAGAAAAACGTGAGTTAATAAATAGCACTGATAGTCCTGCCAGATTTCATCCAACTGCCTTGTTTCCTGCACTGTTCTAATGTGAAACGACAGCTATTTTGTTGATGAGGTGAGCAATAATGGCAACTGGGAATGGGTGAAGGTGGTTTTAAAATCAAACTAAGGGAAGACGTGTGGACATCGGAGCATGACAGTGCAATCTGTCCTGAAGTGTTACAATCCTGACAATTTCTGCAAAGCATTAACATGATGGGACATTTGACAGCCTCTGCATCTGGCTGAGAAATCAACAACGACACTGAGCGCGTGCCGACTTCAGGGATTTCAAAGGATTGTGGGTTAAAGTGCATCAAGAGCTTTACCTGAGAGTCTCCCGGGCGGTGTAACCAGAGCCGATCAGAACGGATTCGTCGAAAAGTTTGTCCATACAAGGGATGAACTCTGAAATGACGGCAAAAAAAAAAAAAAGAAGAACGTTCATCTAAAATATTTGGAGAAAACTTTTATGGATAAAAGAAAAAAAGAGAAAAAACACTGTGTGTTTATGACTAATAAGTCAGTGGTAGATTTGATTTAATGCCACGTCAGCAACTATGGCTTCACCATGGCAACAAGAAGTAATAAACAAAAACCATTTGAAACGACTAAAAAAAAAACACATACATGTTATATAAAGAGAATTGTTGACATCAGTCTTCAATAAAATAATAAAATCATCTACATTACTGCATTTTTTTAACTATAAGGCACATTTAATTTTCTCAAAAATCAACAGTGCACTTTATGTATTAATTCTGGTTGTGCTTACTGACCTCAAACCAATTTTATTAAAAAAAAAATTTAGTTTTCTACACCGCCCTACAACCTAGCTGGTTTTTTTTGTGTTGTTGTTACATTTTCTTTTAAATACCATTTTACTTTCACTTGTTTAAAAAAAAAAAAGTCTCAACTTGTACGCATCCTTTATGATCGTCTATTGTTGTCCACTGTTGTCATCACTCTCCTGTAAATGAGTCCCTGAGGCTCAATGGGATTAACCTGTCTAAATAAAGGTTGAAGGAATGAATGTGGTACACGACGCTCAAATATCTGTCAATGTGAACTTGTTTCGCTTAATGCGCCCTATAGTCCGAAAAATACGGAAAAAAACTTTCTGACTAGACAGTAAAAATGTTGCCTTGTGGTACTCAAAGCAGAACAGGAAAGTAAAAACATGTTTACAGACAAAGACACTATAATAACATGATGGTTTTTCACCTGTCAATCGAAACGCGTGTAAGCGCAGAGTAACCAGCACAGTATTGTGTTTAAACATCTTTATCAGGTCTAGCTTGGAAAGAAAATTATGGTCTCCTATTGTCAGCAGGGTTTTGGTTGGTTTTTTGCAGTTTGGTAATAATATTCATCCCATTTATTTTGCCAGTTGTTCAGTACAGGCCAGAAGTTTGAGGCAGAGGGACTTGGCATGGAAAATGTTCAGAGTTAAAGGCTAACTTAGCAGCGCTTTCTGCTTTTTCATTAATAAAGACACCAAAATGGCTGAACCCAACATGAAAACGTTTAAACTCCGCCTTTTTAAACTTTAAAACACACTGTTCTAAAAAAAATGCCAGTGATCTTGAGTAAAGATTTGTGCTGTTTGTCATTTTGCAGAGTTTACATGAGAGATCATATCTATCCAGTTTTAGCTTTTCTCCACTGGCTCCTTGTCAAATCCAGAATTGATTTCAACATCTTTCTTCTAATCTACAAAGCTCTCAACAACCTAGCTCCATCTTATGTTACAGATCTTATTGTAACATATTTTCCTAACAGAGCACTTCGCTCTCAGACTGCAGGTTTACTTAAGGTTCCTAGAGTTTCCAAAAGCAGAATGGGATCTTTCAGATCTTTCAGTTCTCAGGCTCCTCTCTTGTGGAACCAACTTCCAGGTTCTGTCCGTGAGGCTGACACATTGTCCAGTTTTCAGACTGGGCTTAAGACTTTCTTTTTTGATAAATCCTATAGTAGGGTTGGATTGTACCTATCCCTTAGTTATAGACTACTGGAGGATAAATTAACCTAATTCCATCAAATGAATATTGTATTCGTGCTTATTTCTCAAGTTCAAGTAGGTTTTATTGTCATTCGCATCACATGAGATACATGAGGTGGAACAAAATTGTGTACACAGGGTCCCAGTTACATCCAACAATAGCTAAAATATAAATTATAAATCTCAATGTGTTTTTTTTTTTTATCTTTCCTCCAAGTGAAGACCTGCTCGCCTACATTCTGGACCTGCCATTGTGTATCTGTTCCTCTCAAACCCAGCCGGTCGAAGCAGATGGCCACTTGTCCTGAGCCTGGTTCTGCTAAAGGTTTCTTCCTGTTATGAGGGACTTTTTCCTTTCCACTGTCGCCTTTGTGCTTGCTCAGGATGGGAGACTGTGATGAAATGAAGACTCAACGTACTCTGCTGGCTTCCTTCCTTGTGTAATGAGTAATACGAACACATGATGTGTTAATTTAATCCCTGGAGCCAGACCTCCGAACAGCTAAAGGTCACATTTATTATAGGTAAGAAACAGCTAAACACCTGATCTGACTGAATATGAAGCAGCTAAAACCTGCTCTGACTGCATAAGAAGCAGCTAAAACCTGCTCTGACTGAATATGAAGCAGCTAAAACCTGCTCTAACTGGAAAAGAAACAGCTAAAACCTGCTC